TGCCTGGGCAGGACGAGGCCAGAGGAAACTCTGGTGGAGGTCCGCAGCGATTCTGACGTGCAAATCGATCGTCAGACCTTGGTATAGGGGCGAAAGACTAATCGAACCGTCTAGTAGCTGGTTCCCTCCGAAGTTTCCCTCAGGATAGCTGGTGCTCGATCGGAATCAGTCTCATCCGGTAAAGCGAATGATTAGAGGCCTTGGGGCCGAAACGACCTCAACCTATTCTCAAACTTTCAATGGGTGAGAAGTCCGGTTTACCCGACTGAAGCCCGGACGATTCTCAGGATGTGAGTGCCCAGTGGGCCACTTTTGGTAAGCAGAACTGGCGCTGTGGGATGAACCAAACGCCGGGTTAAGGAACCCGATGCAAGACGCTCATGAGATCCCATGAAAGGTGTTGGTTGCTATAGACATTGTGAGGGGGTTTGTGACGGGCCGCACTCGAAGGTATAGCCCCGAAACCAGAAGCGGAAGGAAGAGGAGATAGGGTTGCGAAGAGGTAAGGTGAAGGTGAATGAAAGTGTGATAGGAAAGTGAAAGAGTTAGGGGTCCCATGGGCGCCTTGCATCGGCATTTATTAATAGAAAGCAAATACATCAATTGATAATACAGTAATAGCCAAGTTGAACAGGAGGTTACAAACAATAAATGGCGCGACAATGTTATATAAACTATGGTAACAAAATATACAATATAGACAATATAAGGTATAGGCTACCTATGGGCCCATAGAACCGCGTAACAAGATGCTATCATTGTAGCAATACCATTTTAAATGGCACAAACGTTGATACAACAAGTAAATTAGGAACAGAGTACACTGCGAACACAGCGTTAGTCCAATATTTTTATCGATTTAACAAATGTTTTGAGTGCCTTGTAGTAGTTCATGCACTCTATCAAAGCATGACTTTGGCAGGGCCAAAGGTCGTTATTGCTTTGGACCGCGCTTATAAGATGATTTCTTTCGTTCTTGTAGTTGGGACAGTTCCAGATTATGTGATAGGAGTCTTCATCCTCATTGAGGGTACACAAGCACTTACCGTTGGTCTTTTGCAGGAACCTTCGTAAGTAGCTACGGAGGTTCCCGTGTCCTGTGACGAGCTGCGTTATACTATGGTTCGTGATGAAATGTTTATAGTGACTCCTTCGTCTGACATCCGGTATGAAACTGTGTGTCGTTCTGCCTGTGTGGCTGGAATCCCACCTATCTTGCCAAGTTTTCCACGTGTAGTCCCTGATATAGTTCTTTACCCATGTTGGTGGGGTGAGAGCAAAAGAGATGTTATTGCACCGTGTGTGGGCCGTGCGTGCCAGCAGATCGGCCCTCTCATTTCCGGGGACTCCTGAGTGGCCGCGGACCCAGGAGAAGTTGATGGGGAGTTTTTGGTTGATGGTAAATAGAAGGTTGATGCTATTGTTCACTATGTTATGCTTTATATTAATGTTTTTTAACTGCTGAAGGGCCACACGGCTGTCACTGTAGATCGTGATGCTATCTATGTTGTAGCGGGCGTAGTTGTCCTGTATCCATTGCAAGGCCCTGTAAATCGCCAGGGACTCGGCCTGGTTGGCCGTACAATGGTTGGCCAGCTTATAACTGGCCTGGTAGATGTTCTTAGAATTGTTCATAACAACCAAAGCGCATCCAACCCCGTCCTCTGATTTAGAGCCGTCCGTGTACACACTGTAATCTGTAGTTGTCTCGGCGTCGTCCATGATGAAGTGTTCATCCAGAGAGGTGATAGGGTGAAGAAACTGATGCTGATAGTTGTGGTCAAGTCCATATCTGTTAATGTGGTCCGTGATGATGTTTAACGTCGTACTGTCAACCATGTTCCCCATAATTTTGTTGAAGTCTTGTGGGCTGATGGTTTGTTTGGCTAATTTCCGTTGTTGGTGGTTCCAGAACTTTTCGGTGATAATAAGGTCGATGGGGATCAAGTTTGCGATTGCTAGTAGGGCGTCTGTCGGGGCTGTCTTGTAAGCTTTTGTGATTGATATTAGGGCTAGTCTCTGTGCCGAAAGCAGCTTCCTTTTTATATGGACTTTAGAGACGGATGCCCCCCAGACCTCTGACCCGTAAGTCAGGATAGGCTCTATTACCGCCACGTACATGAGTCGGCAGGCCGCACTACCATAGCCCCAGTGGCTCCTGGCGATGGAAGCCAGAGAGTGCAAGGCCGTGACCGCCTTCTCATATGCGTAGTGAGCTTGAAGTTTCCAGGTTAGCCTGTTATCCAGTATGACTCCAAGATATTTGAGCTTATCACTGTTTTTTATCCTGTTGCCATCCATCTTTATTATGGGCCCTTTGTGAAGAGGGGTGGCCTTTGGGAAGACTATGCAGCTGCTCTTGTTGTAGTTTATATGTAGCTTCATTTTGTGACACCATTTAGAAATGACCCTTAGTATGTCGTTGGTTCTTGCCTGCAGTACTTCTTGGTTCCTGTGCGATAGTGCCAGGACGGTGTCGTCTGCATAGCCTTGGATGCTGCAGTTGTTATCACCAGGGAAGGTTGATTTTAGATTTAGGAGACCGTTGTACATCATGTTCCATAGGAACGGGCCTGACCTTGATCCCTGGGGGCAGCCCCTGTTGATATTCTTCTGCAGGTGTATCTGGTTGTTGTTGTTGACTGTGATAGTTCTATTGTTTAGGTAATCCTTCACCAGTGCATAGATGTTTCTTGGGCATCCAGTGTCCTTGATGCTATTCAGGATGGCGGGCCACCATGCGTGGTCGAATGCTCCTTTGAAATCTATTGAGACCACTATGGTGTGCTCTCCTTTCCCTTTGGCGTCATGTATGTAGTTCACAATATAGTCAAGGGCTGTTATAGTACTTCTCCCACGCCTGAAACCATGTTGATTGCTATTTAGGTGGTTGTTTTGTTCGCAATGGTAAACCAACCTGTTTACCATAAGCCCGTCCAAGACCTTCCCCAGTACAGGAAGAAGGGAGATCGGGCGGTAATCCGATGGATTCGATGGATTCTTATTTTTCGGGATAAGCTTTATCGACGCTATTTTCCAGATGTTCGGGAAGAGCGCTAATTGCAGGCATTTGTTATATAACACACAAAATACGGTGGGGATTGCTTCGAAGGCCATTTTCGCCATTTTTGGTGTGATGGCATCCGGTCCAGGAGCCTTCCGCAACTTTAGCTTTTTAAATTCCTTCGCAATCTCATGGTTCGTAAACTGGCTGTCGTTTTCAGTGTTGAGGCTTGCATTACAATCTTCTCTGATTTTAGCGTGGATACTATCATCTGTTGATAGGTCGTCATCTGGGAAGAGGTCTCTGAGAATGCGGTGGTAGGTATCCTCAATAGACGTACTTGGGTTATTAATGTTGTCTTCAAAGTTGTTTGGGATTTTACATCCCTTCACCTTGCCCTTTACTATGTAGTAAGGGGCGGACCAGGGTTTGCTTTGTCCCATGCTAGAACAGAACTCCCTCCATGAGTCCGTGCGGGCTTTGCAGAGGGAAGTTTTGTACCTTCTGAAGAGTGTAAGATACTCCTGCCTAAGGGTTTCTCGTCTGTCATGATCCGTCTCACGTCTGTATCTATTTCTGGATTTTCTTAGACTTTTCCTTTGTGCCGCCAAGTCCCTGTTCCACCAGGGGGCGGATTGTTTTGCTGTTTTAATGCTTGTCGCCTTGTAGTAGGCAGTGAGGATAAGCTTTTGCATCTTGTCAATGGTGTTTTCCAGTTCGGTCTTGTTCATGTTGTCCAAGGGGTCGGCGACCCAGTTGTTCCGTATAAAGTTCTGATATTGGTCCCAGTTGGTCTTACGTTTGATGCATAGGTGTTTGACCACCTTAACGGCACTGAGAATGAGCTCTATGTACCGATGGTCACTTGCAGAATGTACTCCGAGGGTGGTACACCGAGTGCAGTAGGGGACTAGGCCACGATTCGCCAGGCAGATGTCCACCCAGCTCTCGCCTGTGGAAGAGGAGTAGGTGGCCAAGGTACTAGTATTCATTGACCGGAGGTCCATGCTGTTTAGTAGTTCTATGACTTTGTACCCCCTCGGGTCCTCCACGGGACTATGCCAAATATGGGATTTAGCATTAAAGTCGCCAGCAACAAGAATAGGAATTTGATTAAGCTGATGTATTGTATCCTGGAGTTCTTCCAGAGGCTGGGTAATATCCTCTGAGGGAGAACAATAAAAGGATATGATGGCTATGGTGGTATTTTGATCCTTGATTATGATTGTTGTATAATTTTTCTTCGTATGCTGGGTCAGTTGGTGGGCGTTTATGTTCCTATTCACCATAATAATGCCCGTCTGAGGGTCACTTTCCAGGTCCGTGTGGCTAAAGATGGTAAGATTGCCAAATAGGGCGATATCCTTGTTGTAGCAGTATGGTTCCTGGACCACAAGTATGTCTGCTTGATGTGTATTTGCCATCTGCATTGCTTCGGTTGAGGCAGCTTTTGACCGTTGCAAGTTTATTTGAAGCAGCTTGAGGTTGTCTGTTTGGATGTTAGTACCCATAATTGGTCTGTTTAATAACTTGTTCCCTTATTTTAATGGTTTGGGGACACTTTAGGTCAAAAGCATTGTGGTTCGTGGGCTGCCGTTTCTCGGGGGGCAGACCCTTGTTTGCCAATTTGCAAGTGATACAACACGATGGCTGCTCTCTTCTTGTGCATTCGTTATATCTATGTGCTTTGGAGCAATGACTACAGATTTGTTTAGACGTACAGTCCTTCGCAAGATGGTTGTACCCGCAGCACTGGAAACAACGGGTTATGTGCACGTAGTCATCTATACGAATGTTCGCCCATGATAGTGAGATGTATTTTTCTTTTATAAGCTGGTTCCTTATTCCCGGTGTAGTTGAAAGCACAACATGCCTGCAGTTTTCCTTAGTATTTCCTTTTGTTAGGGTTGTGCTTATTCTTGTTGATTCCTCAAATTCCTGTTTGCTTATCCCATTCAAGAAGTCGTTTTGTTCGTAGATTGTGCTGATGATGCTGTCGTCCTCAGCTGAATTTGGGACGTTCAGCAAGATTATCCTTGGACGCCTGCCTTCCGAGACCCTAGTTTTTATTTGTGGTTGGACTTCTGGGAGTCCCTGTACCGCTTGCTCCAGAATCATGGCATCCCTCTTGCTGCTGGTACGGAAGCAGAGACCGTTACCTTTAATCTTCCTAATTGCCGTCACTTTAATTTTCAATTTATCCGGCTTCACCTCCTTTATAATATTGTTTTTTATTACTTCCATGTTGGTGGTGCTGGTTTCAGGATTGGCTTCGTTCGGATATACAATCAAGGCATAACTGCTACTGCAGCCTTCGCTTTGGATCTTTTTATTTATAGAGCGTGATATTGTTTTCGTTGTTGTACTTTGTGGGATGTTAGTTTTTACTATTTCGGAATACGAAGGTATTAGTCTTGGCTGTGTTTGGTGGCACTGACAGTGTGAGCTCTCCGTAGTGTTTTTGGCAGCTCTGAGCTCCACCAGGCTGCCGTACAGCTGATGTATAGTTGCGAACATTGAAGTCACCCTTTCTTTTATCTCCTTTTTATCTGGTACGGAGGGGTTGGATTTGCTTGGAAGCGGCAGAAGGTCCATTATGCGTTGAAGGTCCTCTTGTGATTCGGCTAACAGCCTGGCTTCCAGTGTTGGAAATGTGCTGTCGGCCTGGGAGTACCGGGCAGGGGAACCTGGTCTCGATGTGGCTTCGCAATCTGTTGATGATGAGTCCAGTTCTACTTCGACTTGATCCATGATGAAATGAATTTGTCCGTCCAGAGATCACAGAGTACAAAATTATATGGTAATGCAGAGGTATGTGAGTAGGCCACCAAGGAAGAGTGTTTGTGTAATTGTATAGCGACAGATGCCGTTTGGCTACAGACTTTGTCTCAGTGGGAATAACCGACTGGGACAAAGGGGAAAGCAGAGATTGGTTGGCCTTGTAAAACCACTTACCTTTAGCCTTCAGTTTGCGGATCCTTGTTTGCTGAATACCGGCTTGCCCTACGCAACGGAAGTCCGGTGAACAATTTCTTGGCACTATTATTGTCCTTTGGTAGTGTTTGCTTGACGCAATGTGGTGTCTTGTGATAATTCTTGCCCGACGCAATGTGGTGTCTGATGAGATATCTTGTCCGACGCACTATGTTGTTTGTTGAACTTTCTTGTCAGACGCAACATGTAACTTTTCTATCTCCAGAAAACTAACACCAGCGAGGTTCGCGTCACCTTCCCAATAGGGTGGGTGCTGATACTGACTTGGCCAAGCTAGCTTGGCCCTTACGGCGACAGGCTGGCTTGGGACCTAATACCACTTGGGCTGGTCCCACCAAAGCAAAAAATAGATAAGTCCACTCACCCAAAATGGCTGCCTAGAATGTCTACTTCAGTGTTTGCACTTGGGAGGGCAAGATGGCTGTTACCAATTGGCACTGTCCAAGATGGCTTCCAAAGCTGTCCACTTCAGTCTTGGCGAGGAGGGAGGCAAGATGGCTGACTTGGCTGTCCTCTTCTCTCCACTTGAAGAGGAAGGCAAGATGGCTGCTGGACTGTCTTCTCAACTCCCTGAGACGAGGAAGGTAAGATGGCTGGTCTCTTTTTGCCAAACTTTCAAAATTAAAGTGAGGCAAAATATTAGGCTTAGCAAAGCTATGCCTGTGACCAAAGCTAAGCCTAACTTAACCCTAAAATCCTATACGTGAGTATGGAGTAGGGCCAGCTAACCCTAGAATTAGGCCTATCTATCTAAACTGGGAAAATTCTAAGTGCAGAGCAAAGAAAAACACGTCTGCTCTCTCCAAGAGCTAAACTCNTGGCAATGGCATCAATTGTTTTCTCTGTATTTCCTTGCACTATCTTCTCGAGTTCTGTTTTCATGCTTAACTTGTCTTCCTCGTCTCCTGTCTTAATTTCCCTTGTTTTCTTGAGTTCTGTAATCTCCTCTTTTAGTTGGTTAACCGCCTGTAAAGTTTTTTCGTTGTTGCTATGAATGATATCTTTGATTTCCTTCTTGAAAGTTCCCAGTGATTCCTTGTCCTGTTTTGTTGATGATGAAAAACTTTCTGTTAGTTTATCCTGTGCTAACTTAATAATCTTCTGAATTGCGTCCATGATGCTATTGTAATGGTCCGGAGTGGACATCCGACCATTAGGGTTATTCTCTATGTAGTCTTGTAGATTTTCTATGATAATATTTGATTCTTTAACAAAATCCTTAATAGAGTCTTTCTTTTTCCCTGCCATAATAACAATAAAACTACTACTATTGCTAGAAACAAGTACAAAAGCAACACAATACAAGATAACAGTAATTAACTTTCTATTTACAACACTAAAAATCGTTAGATAGAGCTGTTAAATAAACCTTTGCTATTGCACAAACAAGTACGTCAATGAGAAGGTCGTTGACCGTTACCCTGACAACGAACGTTATAAAAAACGTTAGAGTCCGGTCAAGTGAGAAAAACAGTTCTAAATATAAATTGGCATAACTCTTTAAATAATAATAGTAGATAGTTCAAAATACGTCTATAAGTCTATTTTAATGTCCTGGTTCTGATAGTCACATTAGTTTTAACTTAACTGCTAAAAGAGGCCCGATGCGGGCCGATTGAGTCTACACTAAAAGTTCAAATATCTCGAAAAATAAGAGGGTCAGGATAACCAAATTTGCACAGATTACTCACGTAGTGGTCCTACATCAGATTCCGTCATCCTTTCCGGTTAAATGGTATCCGCCTTCCGGTAAATCGACTTCCAAAATCCACTTTTTCAAAAGGTTATTCTTCCAAAATTTGTGACCTCAGATGGGCAAGTATGACACCGTTGGACTCCTCTCGAAGAGACGAATCCAAAAATATGTTCACTTTCACTGTAGACCCAATATTTCTCGAAATATCGCACGTAATCCAGGAGCTAGATTTTTCACTGCTAACCAAAGAAACGACTCGACGCCCTCTGGTTGCTATAGACATGAATGAAAAAGATTAGAAGGGCTATCTGTTTGGCTACAGACTTTACCCTATAGAAGTGGAGTGAAGGTGGAGAAGGAGTGGAGAGGGTTGGGGAGTGAAGTGTGGGGGAAAGGAGAAAAGGAAAGTGTGAGGGAAGGCATGGTCCCAGAGCGTCTGCATCGGGTTGACTTTATTAAATAATTACAATACAATTAACAGATACAATAAAGTACAAGGTTACATAATGATAGAACCGATATTTTGTCAATTGTCGCGGTTTGTAACTTAAGACTAGTTAATATACATCGATTTACATAGTTGTTTACATGCTGGGGGTAACTTACATAAACCGAGTAAGTTGGATGAGGGCGGGAGGATTGCCCAGGGGGAGGATTCCCCCAAGGAAATGCCCAAAGGCCGGTAGGAGGCTTGAAGCTGTGCAGATAGTAGATAGAATATTAGTCATCGCTGTCCTCACTGTCGCTGTTTATGAGGGAGTGAGTGTCCGTAGAGTCACTTTGCTCTGTTTCTTCCGGGGTGCTGCTCAGCTGGGAGTGCACTGTGTGTTGGTGGGATTGGGACTTGAGATTATCTGGTTGAAGTGCTTTAGTGTTAATGATAAAATTTTCTAGGCTGTTCCAAACTTCCTTGTTGTCGAAAATTTGATTGTATGGTGGTTTCCAGCCGAGTCCATAAATTACGCAGTCTTTGTAAAATTGTTGTCTTTGATGTTCGAATAAGCTGCATTCGAACATTAAATGTGAAGCATCACTGTCACTTATGCCATCACATTGGCATTTACTGTTCTGTAGTTTCTTGAATCTGGTCAGATATGCAGGGAACCCACCGTGATTCGTGAGAATTTGGGTCATTTCGTGGCTAATTCTGAAGTGCTTGTTTTTTAGTCTTTCGTTGATATATGGGATGAACTTGTGACAGTGTCTTCCTGTTGTTGAGCTGTCCCAGTCTTCTTGCCACTTTTTAATCTCCCATTTTCTGAGTTGGTGCTTTAATTCCGTAAAGGGTAGTCTGTCGTAAGTAATGGGGAGAAGAGAGGTGGCTGCCCTTTTAGCTAAGGAGTCTGCCATCTCGTTTCCGATCTCCCCTTGGTGGGCCTGAATCCAGGTGAAGTTCAATTTGTTCGTTTCAGCAAGCTTGTATGCTTCCTTGACCATATCAGTACCCAGCAGTGACAAGTTTTTGAGTTTATTCAGAGTGTGAAGGGCAGTTCTGCTGTCCACATAAAATTTGATGCCACCCTTGTAGGTATCTAGGTTGTTTCTGATATAATTGAGGGCCTTGTAGATTGCCCAATACTCTGCTTGAGTATTGGTGCAGTAATCAGCCATTTTTAAGCTTGCTTGATATATGGTACGATTGGTGTTCCGATTTTTAATGATAATCCCAGCACCGGTTCCTTGTTGCTGCTTGGACCCGTCAGTGTACACAATCCATTGATAATCGTTGTTGTCCTCGATGTTGTAATCCAAGCTAACCTGGATTTTGTTGATGTCAGCTGGGTGTGTTTGTATGGCTAAGCTATTGTCGTTCTTGTCCGTTTCTTTGATAATTATGTTGTTTGGTAGCTCGTTGATGTTGGCTGGGATGATTTTGTTGTTTCTTTTCTTGTCTAGCATTTCCTGAGTATGGTCTTTTAGGTTAAGGTTTGTTATAATCCATTTCCATGCAATTGTATTTGCCGTGATATGAATAGGGGTAATTCCGCCAATGGTCAGCAAGGCATCAGTTGGGGCTGTTCTGTACGCTTTTGTAATTTTAATTGCTGCCTGTCTCTGAATTGAGAGTAATTTTCTCCTTATGTGTGTGTTATTAGTGGCCTCATGCCAGATTGGAGCTGCATACAGAATTGCAGGTTCGATTGCAGATTTGTAGATTAGTTTACAGTTATTGGGAGTAAGGCCCCAGTACTTCCCCATGATCCAATTAATTTGGTTTACTCTTTGCCTTGTCTTTGCCGCTATTTCGTTTAAGTGGTGGTGCCAACTTAGATTGGGGTCCAGGTACACCCCTAGGTATTTCAATGTTTTTACCTGTTTGATCCTTTCATTGTTTATTCTCAGTTTTAACGTTTTTTGAAGTTGGCCCCGCTTGTTTTTGCGTGTGCATACTAAGGCTTGGCATTTTTTGTCGTTAATCGGTAATTGGTGGTCATTGCTCCATTGGTGGATTTCTTCCAGGATGGTGTTTGCAATATCCCTTAGGTGGTCGCAGTTTTTATTAGCGATCATAACCATTAGATCATCTGCGAATGCTTGGATCTTTATATTCTCCCTGCCATCTAATTTGTAGAGAAGTTTGTCGAACACCAGGTTCCATAGGCCTGGCCCGCAGCGAGAGCCCTGTGGGCACCCCTTAACGATTTTTTTCTGGATGTGGATGTTGTTGGTACGGTACTCGACGTGCCTATTGTTCAGATAGCTGTGGAGCAGCTTGATTTCAAAAGTGGTGTCCTGTAATTCCTCTAGGGAATCAAGTATGTCTTTCCATTGTAGATTGTCGAATGCCTTGCTGTAATCGATAGAAATAAGTAGAGCGTGGTGATTTTTGTCCCAGGCACCATAGACGAATTCTTTCACGCTGTATAATGCGTGGAGGGTTGATTTGTTTTCACGAAAACCATATTGGTTTTTGTGCATTTTGTTGTTACGATATAGGTCCCAGTTAATCCTCTTGATCATGAGGCCGTCCAAGACTTTTCCCATTGTGGGGAGGAGACTGATCGGTCTGTAGTCAGAAGCTTTTTCAGGATGTTCGGTTTTGGGGACCAGCTTTATTATG